CCCCAAAACCCCAAAACCCCACCATTTAAAAATGCAAATTAAAATGATTGCTTAAGAATTAAATAAACGATTACAATTTTTATATCATGTTGTTTTATATAAGTTTCTACATAAAAGCTCGTGATCAAACTGCTATTCAAATCATAACTCAAAGATTTTCTTTTTATGCCCTGAACCATCCAGACTTATAATATTGAAGGTCTGAAGCTACTTGAAAAGTCTTTATCTAAGGGATGTATCTTAGAGGTCTTATGCTGAAAACTATTAGACCTAAGGAATGGCATTTAACTAGACTGATACATTTCTAGCTAGACTATTTGATGTGTAAAATATCTCCCACTCAGCTCTTTAAACATCACTCAATCCAAAATTATTCCAATATACTGCAACAGTGTAATAAGTCTGATTAATTACGGTTTGATTCTGAATAGTTGTCAAATTTCTGGTCAGATTAACAAGAACTGTTTAATTTTGGAGTACAGTAACAGTTTGGTTTTTCTTTGTTGTTGAATTAGTTACATTCATAGTAACGTTTACAAGAATAGTCTAATTTTATGTATAATTTTGCTATGTTATAACGGTAACCTAAACAGTGATATTCACTGCTGTTTGATTAAAGGATAAGCTGTAACTCTTGCTCTGAGCATTAAAAAATTAAGATTCATTGAAGTAAGTTCTTTTTGTGATAGTTGGGAAATTGAGATTTCTGAAATTTACAGTTCCATTTATTATATCATTCCTTAGAACATAGATGCTAGGATAAAATCCTGGAGTACGAGGAACTACATTGATATTTATGGTTTGATTAAGAGGGAAACTATTTGGAATAAAGTAATAGTATTTTATATAATCCTCTGGTGTCAGCATTCTGTCCATCAAACTTTAGTTATCTTTCAATAACTGTACTGTTTTTCTTTGATCTAATCTGAATGTAACATTACTATTTACTTGATTTGAAACAATAGTTAAGTAGTAATACATTCCAATATTGAAGTTAGGATCAGATTGTCTAAGAGTGAATACCTTTCTATCCAGCCCAGTTGCATTCCAAATACTCTAATTTCCAATATAATCAGATGTGAAGGAAATATATGCTGTGAAATTGACATTGTTTGAAAAAAGAGTTAAGCACATCTATTCCTTTGTATCAAGTTAGAATTTTCTCTAAACTATTAAATTTGGAAGAGATAGTAATAATGACTATGAGTCTCCAGGTTTAATTTAAGGGACGTAGTCTTATGCAGATTGATCTCTAACAGTGACCATGAATGTGGAGGTGGCTTAAGGTAGAATATTAGTTTGAGAGACTAAGAAGTATATCCAACAGAAATTACAAAGAAGGTCAGTATTTTCTTTCTGATTGACTCTTACAATAAAACTCTGTGATTTGTTTATAGTTTATGGCTAAATTTTGGAAAGTTGCTAAGTCAGAGGAACATTAAAGTAGGAATTCACTTTATTGTGCTTAAAGTTATTTCTATTAGCCATCACTTGCACTTAACCATCTAGATTTGTGATGTTAAATAACAGATCTTAGCTTCCATAGTTGAAAAATCTTAAAATTCTGTAATTATTGACTGACCTTTGATTTCTAGAGGGTAGGACATAAGTTTGATTCAAGCCTCCAACAGTTATGTCAGTGAAATTAATGAAATTAGAATCATAACTGCTAGGTCCGAAATTCATTAACTCAAAAGTAGTGTTTGATTGTCTAGCCCTAATACCTACGATCACCATCAATTTCTCTCGGTTTATTTACTTAAACATACTTAGATCGGATGATATAACTACTGCATCATTGCCTATTCTATCTCCTTTGAAGTCGAAATTTGCAGGATTAGGAAGGTCACCATCTAAAACTGAAATAAATATATCTACTTCCTTGTCAGTTGATGAAGCAGTTGAGGTTATTAAATGCTTCCACTATGTTTATTATCTTGCACTATTCGTTGTATTTACAATGAACCATGTATAATTCAAGGTATTTGCTTGAAGGATGATTCCAGATATAAGAGTGGTATTGGAAATTCTATTTGAACTGCTAAAGAATTGGATATCATAAAAAGATGATTAATTAGTAAGACCTATAACTCCAATTATCAAAATACAACTGCTGTTTGGAGTACATCTGCTTAAAAGCATCTGACTATTAAGATCTATTAGTTCAATGCTACTAGCATTAGTCCTAGAAATAAAATCATTTGAAGTCAGAATGGGGAAACTCCAGTTAAAATAAGGCAGATATCCAGTGTTAACTACTCTACCAACTAAAGCAGTAGAATCATTAATTCCTCTCTTCAATATAACTGCTGAATTCGCTAGCTGTCCTCTCATAAATGGAGTGAAATAATAATTTATTTTTTTGTTGTTGACTACCCCAAATAATTGCTCATTTTCTCTGAATAACTATGGTATATCTATGGATCTTTTAGATGCTTCAGGTAGATTTATTGTTAATCTAAAAGAGCAAAATGACTTGCATTAAACTGCAATAAACATTGTGCAATTTTCGTTTCCCCCTCTTAGAGGATAAGAAGAATTCCTGCACTTAAAGTTTGCATTATCCCTCATAAATTTAGTAACTGACAATTAAATTGTATCTTCATCATCAACAGAGTTAGTAGCAAAATCGAAGGTTGTATCATCCTCATAATCATACTCTTATAGAATTAATGCGCCATTTTTCTGTAATAGGTAAGGTCTGCCCACTTAATTAAACAATTAGAATTAATAAGAACCATTTATATCCATTAGAAGGTGCTTGAATAATACATATGAGTTATTAGCGAAACCTTCATATGATTAACCAAGTTGGGTATATTCTATGAATCTAGCTGTTTAGTTATAACTGAAAATTCCAAACCTGAAATTTAAGAAAATATTAACCTAGATTTGAGCTAACTTTTGAGTCAAGTTAGAAACATTCTGGATATTACTCATACTCTAGACCTAAAGTTAAGTTCTATTGACTTTTGAAAAGTCAGATCGGAACCTAATTGTGAAATTTACATTCGGTAAGAACGTATAATTTTCTGGAGAAAGTGATAAACCGACACTATTGTTATTCCAGTTTTAATTACCATAACTCACATTGAATACCAAAGTAGAATTTTATGTCATGGATTCAATAAAAGGAGAAAAGTGAATTTGCTTTGCATTATTAGGTGATGGAATGTAAGTCAATACTATATCAGTAAAATTTTGATTTAGTTAGAAATTTTATCTTCTCGAATTTTCAGTTATTGTTGTCGAATTAACTTAAGATGGCTATTAAGTCTGATTAGTATTATTTGAGTTGGTTGTACTATTTGTATTATTGGTGCTAGTTGAATTAGAAGTATTTGTTCTGTTGGGGCCAGTTGTGGCATTAGGAGCTCTAGTTTGGTTATTTGTGGTTTGATTTATTGTTGTAACTGGTGCTTAAGTTGTTGCAGGTTATATTGGAGCAGGAGTTGTCTAGCTTTAATTAAAAGTTTAATTCTAGATGAATTGAGGCGTGGGTATTTGAAAATCTACATTAACTCTCAACTGAAAACTTGTTCTAATTGTAGAGTATACAGCCACATATAAATTAGTGATAGATAAATTTTTCCCTAAAGCATTGAATTCTATTGAGGTCCAAGGAGAGTTTGATCTTATTCTTGTCGCGTCATTGCTATTTATTGTTGGATTTCTATTTGCAGTAGACATTAAGAGATCAGCTTTCCCGTTGAACGAGGTCAAATTGAATGAAATCGTTGAAATGTTCATATTGATAATTTAGTTTGGCCAAAATATTACCTAGAAATACATATACTACCCTTAGTTGACAACATCTTAATATGTTTGAAATAATTAGAGAGGAATAGGATCAATGTTGACCAAGTTAATCCTGAATGTAAATTTCTGCAGTCCACCAAAGTCTGTGTTCAATGTTGATATCAAATAGTAGCAGGATTATTAATTTGAACAAGCTTAAGGATTATGATTGATGTATCCGACCTTGATATTCTGCTAGTTTGATGAATTGAATATCTCTTAAAGAATAACGTCACCATCCCAAAATCCTCTTGCTAATTAGTCAGATAAAAAGCATTCTTCTGGATTTGGTGAGGGGCATACTCTAAAGAAAATTCTTGGCTAAGCTGAATTGAAGTTAAAATTTTACAGTGTAACTTATATCAATCTCTAGGTGGTGAGATAAGGACTAGTATACCTATAGTATACATATTCATTAGAGTCCATCATATAAGTATAAAGAGTGTCATCTAAAGCATCGAATCTTGAAAATTAAAAGTTTTAGTTTGCTAAAATTTATATGTTTGAGTCTGAATAAGGCATACCACAGAGGTACATAAAACCTGTTGAAAAATTAAGTCTATTTCTATCCTGAGCTCTTGAGATAAGTCCCCTTTAAGTATATACTTCAGATTGGAAGATTGCAATTTCTTATGAAGTATTTCTAGGATTTCTGATTACAAGAGTCAAGTCAATATCACCTTATTGCTGTTTTACATTGAAAATAACATCATTTGTTGCCTTTTATACGAAATAGGCAAAACACTCCCTTTCGAAGTAATTTATAGATCTGGAGTATTGAACCTAGTCTGGAAGAATTTCTTTTCTTGAAGTAGATTTTCCACTTATGAAGTAGTTATTCGCTGATTTCACACTAACTACGAAATAAACCAAACAGCTAGTGCAAAAACCATACTCATCTGAGGTAAACTTCATAGATTTTCCAAGATCAGTAATTACATCTGTCAATCTTTCCTCCATTTAAGAAAGATCATCTGACAAGCAGAAGAAGATGTCAATCTAATTCTACAGTGAATATGTATCAACCTAGAATTAGATAGATTAGGTCGGGCCATCATAAGAATTATCAGGTATTAAGAACTGATAGATATTTGCAGAACGACCGTCAAAGGTAACCCTTTAGCTTGAAACTCCGTCAGTTACATTTTGTATTTGTGAGAAAGCGACTCTGAGGGTATAAGTACATTAATTAATACATCTAATGCTGAAATAGATTGTGTCATTAACACGATATGAATTCTTCTTTAAGAAGCAGACATTCTATCCTGATCTAACACAGTACTGATCACTATCAGCCTCTGATCGAGGAGTCGTAATTTTCTATGTATATATTACTTTCTTGATATAAATTTACCTTAGAAATGAATAAGTCAGGATCTGAAGTGGCGTCATCTTAGTCAACACGAATATAAAGTTGGGAATTATTGAGAAAAGCTTGAGTTTTATTAGGTATTTTGAATTAATAAAAGTTAAAAGATCTTTGGTCTAGGTTGATTCCGGGGTAAAGAGTGCTTTCATTAACTGCAATTATTGTCGGATTATTGATTGTAGATTGAGTGTTAATGACCAAGATCAAAGATTAAATCATTAGGAAAATGCATTTTATCTTGGATTTAAAATTGGTCCTCATTTAATGAAATTATTATAATTATTATAACCCAAGCTTCATTCACTGCTAAATACTAATTGAAGTAATTTTTTTAGAATTGGGGTTTTGGGGTTTTGGGGTTTTGGGG